TAAAGTAGCATTCATGAGCGGAGCTGCTTTGATTACAGCCATTACTGGAGAAACCGCTAGTTTTATCACTCTAAAAGCACCTCCTGGATTTTTGCCGATATCTGATATGCCAATATTTTTCAACTTATTTTGGCCGATACCTATATATTTCCTTTTGTTTGGAAACAACACCAAGTCTCTCCTGTGCAGAAATTATAAGCAAAATATTTTTAATTTTGGTTAGTTAACCAGAACTTATTTGTTAGAATTAAACAATAATGAAGATTTTTTGACAGTACATTGAAGCTTTGAAAATAACTATAAATATTCTATATATCAATCGCTGCATTTTTTTCCCCAGAAAGATGCAGTGTTAACCCTAACACTTTATTTTAAGATTTAACATTTGTAGATGGTCTAAAGCAAAAGAGTTTTAAAAATTCTGAAAATCTTTTAGAGCTTATGATTTGTTTAAAAAAATAAAACATATTACACATTAATGAATAAATCATAAATTATTTAATTTACAAGTGTCATGTTTGTGATTTTTTTTCATGTAAGCTGTAGCTTCTGACCTTTAAATTAAAACATACGCATTATTTTATGACATCAATTACTGCTTTATTTAATCAGAAACACAGTCTAAATGTTATTTGTGTAGGCTATTTTACTTTTAATTTAATTAGAAGTTGGCCAACAGCGCCCCCCTTCAGATTAAAACTCCTTACCGAACGGGCGTTAGGACCTGGGGGAGGCTGCCGCTGTTGCCACTGCACGTGCTATTACGGTTTACTCTGTCATACAACAAACGGTCATTCTGTACATGCTTTCTCAGATTAAATGCAGCGACCCAAAACCGTGAATCTAATCATCATTCAGACAAAACTGCTTCAAGAATGAGCCACACTGCTGGCGTGATCTAATCACTAACACACCCTGAGCACATGTGAGTTAACTTATTCCTCTTATCGGCAAGACATATCGGCATAATTTTTCAGATCGGGCCGATGCCAATATTTACATTTAAAGGTGCAGTGTGTAAATTTTAGCGGCATCTAGCGATGAGGTTGCGAATTGCAACCAACGGCTCAGTCCCCCGCTCACCCCTCCCTTTAGAGAAGCTACGGTGGCCGATACAGGACTGAGATGTCGTCAGTAAAGACAGCAGAGAGCAATGAGATTTCTATACAAAGGTAAATTAAGGAAGTATATTTACTTAATTATTTAATAAATCGATATTATTGCGAATATTAATGTACTTGTTCATCATTGTGTCAGTGTTTTATTCGCAAGAACAACAAAGTGACGAAACGATATTGGTTTTTTGACAGCCGATGCTGATATCTTGGCAAGCAGGGTGGCCGATGGCCGATATAATTTTCTTTATTTTAATTAATATTTAAGAAATTTGAAATCATTTGAAAATTGATCAATAAAAATAAATGTGTTAAATAAACATACTTATACTTTAGATGACAAAGTATTTTTCACAAATAAATAAATATTTAATACAAATATAATTAAAAAGGAAGTAAACACTGTAACCAACAGGGCACTCAGTATTCTGGGAAGTTTGTGT